AAGGAGTGCAATTGCTGGATCACATGGTAGGAGTATGTTTAGTTTTGTGAGGAATTTCCAAACTATCTTCCAAAGTGAATGTAACATTTTGTATTCCCACCAGCAAAGAATGTCAGCTCCTGCTGCTGTGTGCTGTCACGACCTGTGGTATTACCAGCATTCTGCATTCTCACCCTTCTGACGGGGCATGGTAATATCTCACTGCTGTTCTATTTTGCAACTCCCTAATGGCATACCATGTTGGATCTTTGCATACTCTTATTCACCATCTGAACACCTTCTCCAATGATGTTTCTGTTCAGACCTACTGATCCCCTCGCTTTTTGTTCTTGGGACAGTCTCACTCTGTTGCCCAGGCTGGGGTGCAGTGGAGCCATCATAGCACACTGCAGCCTCAAACTCCTAGACTCAAGTGACCCTCTTGCCTCAGCCTCCCTAATAGATGGGGCTATAGGCACCCATGACAACACCAGGCTGACTTTTCTATTTTCTGTAGAGACAGGGTCTTGCTCTTGCTCAGGCTGGTCTCAATCATATAACTGAGTTTTAAAAGTTCTTTGTGTATTTTGGTTAACAGGCTTTTATTAGCTTGCCTTTTCCAAGTGTTTCTCCCAGTCTGTGGCTTGTGTTCTCATTTTTTTTTGACATAATCTCATTTGAAATGATTCAAGTAGATGAATTCTGGGGTGAGCAGGGTGCTTCAAAATGTCTGACTAAGAGGTATGTGGTACTCCTCTCCTTAAAAAAGAGGAAATCAGAACAGCAAGCAGAGGATCACAATTTTGAAAAGATCACCTAAGAGAAAATGCTGGACTTTAATAGAGAAGGGACAGGAAACACCAAAGGTAAGGAAACGAAAACAAGGCAGCCTGCTCGGCAGGGGACCCTGGGACAGCCCAGACACAATCAGTGCAGAGGACAGTGAGCAAGCCCCAGGAGTCCACATTCCAACCTCGGACTCATGGGAGACCCCTCTACCCATGTGGACCCTGAGACTAACACAGAGAATGTGCTCCCTGGATCCCACAGCCTCCCCCTCCCCAAGTCCTAAGCAGCTATGGCAAGGTACTGCGTTGAGAGCCCAGCCCCCACCAGACTGGTTAAGCCCAACAGGCCCTGCACCTTCACCTGCCCCAGTGCAATGTGATACCTGCAGCTGGCTGTGCTACCAGGGCCAAAGCACAAGCCATTGGCAACAACCCTATTCCAGCAGCAGCCACTGCTGCTGGAAGTACTCTGAGGGCCAAGCAGGTGACTATCGCCTATAAAGATGTGAGGATTGCCTGAGCTCAGTTGAAACCAGCCTGACTGTCTCTACTAAAAATAAAAATAAAGGCTCGGTGCCTGTGGCTCAAGCGGCTAAGGCGCCAGCCACATACACCTGAGCTGGCGGGTTCAGATC